ATCGATAAAGCTTCTTACCAGAGCCCACATAACAATTCCACTGAGTGATAACGACATCCCGATGAAGATTAAAATAGGCCAGGAATCCAAAATGGCGGCCATCAATTCTTCTCCTGGTATACTTTTCTGTGCAACGACAGCAATTCCGGGCGAATCAACTAAACCAAGAAAAGGGTGAAGATATATTGACTCCTCGCGGCCAACTCTTCGCCCCACCGGAATTATAACTTCATTTGAGTAATCGTCGATCGTTGCTTTCAGTGATGTAGGATAATCGATGAGTTTTGCTGATATCTTAGCGTTTGTTTTGCAGCACGTTTTATAGACGCTGCGAAGGATTTCAGGCAGAGCGCCGTCTATTTCACTGTGCTTCTCGTCTTTGAAAATGTACGGCTTTTGTTCCCAGTAAACCAGAGAGAAAGCTGTTCCTTTAACACATGCATCTTGGAAGCTAGATAGCAAACCTTTTGTCGGTAAACTAGCAAAAATTGCGATAGTTATTAAGTTGGAAAAACGCCGTGGAACGCTCGGATAAATGACCATTATAAACTATTAAGTTTATGGCAGGCTTCCAGAACGTGAAGATTGAAAATCAAAGTTATTAGTGTTCAAAGGATTTTAAATTTTAATGGAGACATCTCTTATTAATTAGTATTTTAAAGCATCCTAGTTACCACATTACGGCGGCCAATCAATTCTTTCTCTTTATGTCGGACGAGATAAATATTTTGGTTGTGAGAAGTTCAAATAAGCATTATTATTTTTCTTTCATCATGCAAGCCAAGGAAGATAACGAACACTGAAGAATTTGCCTGAGATAAGCGAACTGGAATAATGACTTGGCCTCGCTCATTCCATAAATGTTTCATTGCAATGATCATGATCTAGCTATTCCTTTGGTTTTAGTATTATTTTCGAGATGTCATTTACGCGAGTTTGTTATGATATTCTGCGGTGTTTACGCCTTACAATAACTATCCAAGCAAAAGATACTCTTATTCATAAAAATATTAAATGGGATGACTTCAAATAAAGAATTTTTGGTTGTTGATTAAGTTTCTTCCTTCGTTTCAAGTTTTGCTCAATTAATGGTTTTTTAAGTTCTTTCCATAAAGTTGTCTGTACATTATAGAATGGAAATAATAGCACAAACCACAGTTTGTGTTGATGCACGTTTCTATAGTGTCTATACTAAAGTCGCCCAAATACAGATACAATAATCAAACAATTCTTTAACTTCCTTGTTCCTGTGATTTCCCACTATTCTATACAACAAAGGTATCATGGAAAATCAGCGATATTCAGTTGGAGGGGCAAAAGGAGTGCAAAAATACTGAACAATCTGCCGAAACTATTCAAAAAATGTATCATTACTTCGCGATCCAGGCTTAAAGCAAAACCATCACTATGGCGGCCGCTTTTCTAGAACCTGAAAATAATTTATTAATTTTTAATGCTGAACATACCTAGCCAATTACAGACTATTTTACGATTAACCTTAAAGTCCTAAGTGGTAATCATGAATCACAACACCCCAACAGACATGAAGGCTCTCTTGGGATCTATCATCTAACAGTGGGTAAGCAAACATGGTTCCTCGATTTCTCGATTTGAAGCTGTGATAAATACAAAGTTTGTTCACAGGAACCAGGTAGAAGCTGTGTTGTAATAATTTCATCAAGGCATCATCAACGCATAGGCAACAACTAAACGTTACAACAGAAATACAGTTGAGAACCGTGGAACTAAATTATTTTGACTTGCTTTCTTCAAACCTGTCTTGTTCAGTTTTGGTTTTTCAAGTTTATCATCCAGCAATAGTCTAACAGCGTCATTGCTGAGGAACAGTGAAGCTGTGCCGTGATTATGGTGAGCTGCAAGAAACTGTACTTGGTGGTGATGGGTTTGTTTATAAACAATGTTTGCCTGACGAACTCTAGTGTTGACCACAAGTGCATCAACGGAGAACAGATGACTGTGTTATGGTGGACCCAGGAACCTTACATCTTCACTCCAAAAGAACACGACTTTCCATCATTAGAAGGGATGTTTCCAGTTATCTTAAACAAAGTGATCAAGAGTTGTTGTCATATTAACACGACTGTTAACTATACAAAGATCCCTGAGGGTCCTGCAAGCCTGGATAATCTTCTAGGTTCGAATAACTTTGATGTGATTATACCCGTGGGAGGGAATGTGGGAGCCGAGACCGTTCGTCGATTTCCCTTCGTCGGAGTGCTTGAGTCCCCAGGGGTAGCGGTGCTTATCAAGGGGAATGTGTCCGGGACTCAGCTACTGCTGTCTGTTCTTCAAGGCTGGCCTATACTCGTGTTCATTCTCATCTCGGCGACACTAGCGGGAGTTATCATCTGGTTAGCGGTAAGTGAACTTATTCTATGAAGCCTTTTTAGAGGTGTGCCGTGAATCTTTCAGAAAATTGTAGTAACTGGGTGGGGACTTGTGTTACTGAAAAGAAGAAACTCAAACGTTACCTCTGTTTGCCTATTCAGTAGTACGTATCAATGTGTACTGTTAAGGTAACCATGGCAGCCCGACCAAATGTCGGCCGGATAACTTGGTGATCCATGCGCATCTCTCCACCCAGTGAAAATGTCAATCTATGAACTACTCGTTTTAAGCAACAGCCAAGGAATCCTTAGACAACCGTGACAAATCTTGTTTAAAGAATCGTGTTCTAAGTGAAAAAATACCAAAATTAATCGACTTTATTGAACAAGGGTAGCAATATACAGTCTTGGAACTGAGAAACCAGTGCCCAAACGTTTCAGCCGAAATCATTGGGAATGGATTCACGTGGGAAACTCCAGCCATACTAACTGTTTCAAATGAAATTTGATGTTTTTTTCTGAAAAAAAGATCGGCCACCCTCCCTGGAACAGTTATCTCGCGCTCCAAGAGACCAACCAACTCGCCACTCCAAAAATACGTCATCATGTCCTTAGAGCATTCAGGTTTTGTCGATGCCATTAATTAAGCAAGTTTTAAATAATTTGACCTTTACATTTTGAAACTTGATAATGAGATCTTGAAGACGTCGAAACATTCAATAAATCAATGAATCAATGACTTTTTTATTCTCTCTTATTTCGTCTGCTTATTTTTGGTTTGCTAATCCAATTAAAATGTACAATATCACCCCCTTAGTGAGCAATTTTCGGTACAAGAAGAAATCTCTTTGGTTATAAATTTTGATTTCGAGTACACATTTTGTGTGCATATTTTAAGTTTATGATCCTTGGAGTGGCGTAAGAAGCTCATGCAGTAGGCCGAATGTAAAGGACACATTTGTTTCTGATGTAAACCAATAATTTTTTGACTGTTTGTTTGGTTTCCGAGGGAAGCTTAAACAAAGAAACAAATCAAGACAAGGAAAGGTGGAAACAGTTAGTCTCGTTAAAAGTAATATTTCCAATTTCCATTGTAATGCGATAGATGAAACGTGCTATTTGCTAGTTCTTTTGTTTAACATTGTCATTTAGTGTAAACACCGTGGGGTTGTTCTTCAATCTCACGACACGAAGACATTACCACCATTTCAAGTGGGTTTTGATGATATATGCATATATACAAAGACATGATGCTTTCAGGCGTTTAGTAATTAAAACCCTGGATAGTTGAAAGTCGACGGTTATGGACTATCGAATTTTCCATCCTCAGGAGCGCAAAGAAAATGCTGACCAGTTTCCCGCGTCATTTTCTCACGGTGTGTTTGAGGGATTCTGGTGGGCTTTTATCACCATGACAACCGTTGGGTAAGTGCGAATATAATAAATTCATAGTAATGACCATGTCATTATCGGTCAGGTGGACAAATAATGCTTTTCAGGTAAATACGGAGAAAAAGATGCATTAATCGTCGGGCGAATTTATCAGTTTTTCGATAAAACAGACACATTGAAACATAACAGACACATTGATTGTCAAAACATAACTTTCTCTTGCCAAAGACGTTTTTATGTCTAGGCGAATATAAGACTCAGAAAACACACCAACTTTACTGGACTGTGAATTCGCTAGACCAAAATTTGTGGTCAAGGGACCAACAGTCTCCCTCCCAATGGTTTTATTCGTCTAAAATTAATACGAACAATGCAATAATAATGGTCATAAACCGATAATAACACGATGTCTCCATTTGTGAAGAACTACTACAATATGTAACTACAATAGCGTTAAATTATTACAATAGATAACCATGTCTTCATAATACTTTAATAAATTATCCAAATACAAAGTTTACAATTAATGTAAATATGAGTAACAATGGAAATTTTTCATTTATGACAATAAGGATTTAAACATCACGTACGCACTTTCTTAAGTGTTAAGACGCATTCGTCGTGTTCCTCTGTAAATACAGCTAACAACATCATGTCAAAAATAGGGCTTTTGAAGAATGACTAAAGGAAGAAAACAACAAAACTTTTATGACATCCCAGAGTTAGAAATTACAATGTTATAGAGTAAAAACAAAAATGATAAGGGTGCTGGCTGCCCGAAATAAACTAAGAGTTAAAAATACCAGGAGCCAGTTAAAAGAAAAGATACTTTACATGTTTAGGTCAGGGACGCCAAAAACACAAACAAGCAAGCAAGCAAACAACAAACAAACAAACATAGACACACACAAACAAGAGTGACTGACACAAGGAAGAGTTACTGATTTAGCAGCTCACATCAACAGATGACAAGGAGTGAACGTGTTACCACTAAAAAGAAGCTTGAGTCTTCTTGGTTCAGGACTTAAAACTGTCCAGGGAGAGGACAGTTCTCCCTTTAAAAAAAAAAAAGCATTCGTTACGTGCAGAATCGATGGGGAATTTTATTGGAATATATATGATTTTGGTTACAGGATATTAGACGCTCATCTCCGAAAAAAACACGACTACTGAATATTGAATTCATTTAACCAAAGCTGACATTCGTTTCATTATGGAGTGGTTAGATTCAACTTTTAATTTCTGCAACCCTGCGAATTTTTCAGATTGGTTTTCCACATGCCTATTTCTTAGGAACTTGAGCGTTATTACCTGGGCGTGCAATAACGGCTGTCCACAAACTTTGTATCGCCGCAATCATTAGACACCTACGCGTGTCCGGTAAGGTTCGCTCAATAAAATAAAGTGCTTCCTTCTTTCTGTTTGAAATATATAACTGACTTCTTTAATTCGAAAGAAATGTTCTTACCGACGCTCTTGCTTTACTGGAACTCGTGTCGTAAAATCCAGGAGTAAATGTATTCGTTATATAATTTCATAGTACTTTTCAAATTTTCTCCCCTGATGCCTCCCTGAATTACACCCCACTTTCTCCATTCACTATGACTCAAGGCACGTTTAGTTCCATTGGTTGCTCTATTGTATATGCTATGCGAACTGATCATCATCCAGCTTACATCTTAATCTAACAGTAAGCCGACTTCGATATATTTTCAATCCTAACTTGGTTCCGGGCCTAAGGGAACAAAACAAAATACCTAAATTATTCATCCCTCCGCCATCTATGAGATTGCTTTTGTTTTATTCCTCCAAGCGTCAAAGCCAAGTTAGAATTTAAATTCATCGAAACTGGTCCATTGTCTATTCGATTCCGTGCAAGCAAGACTGTTAGCAATACTTAGCCATGGATATGAAATTAAACTCTGAACAGTATTCAGGTTCAGGTGTACCATATGTTAACACAGTAATTACTGTTTCGTTTAGTCAGTTTAGTTAGGACCGGTTGTGTGTTTTTCTTTGGAGAGTATCAAATGAATATCCATGAAATCTTTTTCCCATGCTTGCCTAAATTATTTTGTAAGTTTATTTCCTCGTCTATTTCTCTCGTCTATTCAGACATGGTTTGCGGCGCTGTGGCATCATTAAGCGTGCCTTTTGTTTGGTATTTATTCGAAATCTCTTTCATCACGTATGAAATATCCAAATTAGAGGCAGCTGTTTAACTTTTTACAAGCGTTTGACTTTTGTCATAAACATGACACTCACACCAGTGATGTTTGCGTCATGGTTTTATTGTAATCTTCAATTTAAAAATGTCTCACCTACGCAGAAGTTGGCACGAACAGTACGGATTATATACTTTCATCTTGAAAATTCGCCGTTCATTTAGGTAAACTCTCCTACCAAGACATCTGAAAGAGCAAGTCCTGGAATATTTTATTCTCTTCGTTTCGCCGGGGTGGTCCCCTTAAGGAGTAAAGGAATTGCAGTAAAAGAACTACAGCTAACGTGATCCAGCTGGTCTGTGGCGTCCAGAGAGGAACTCTCCCAAAACACTTTGTGGAACAAACGGTGGTCAGCACTCAGTTTTTTGGAATCGATATCATGAAGAAATCATCTTGTGAAGCTGTACCGCATTACTTCCCCACAATATCCGAAGCTGAAGACCTCTATTCGACTTACATCGCTAATTCTGTCCTCAACAATTTTCTATCCTGTACCGCTATCATGTTAAACATTATAACAATACACGCTATACGAAAAACATCGTTGCCAAAGACGCTGAAGGCACTGCTCCTGAGTCTTGCTGTTTCTGATTTTGGTGTTGGTGTATTGTCCCAGCCGCTATATACATCTCTACTAGTCAAGTGGCTACAGAAAGGCATTCCCAGCTGTGGTAACTACAAGGTATTTCTCGTGATTATGCTTTTGTTTTCTCTTGCTTCATTGTTTGGTGTCCAGGCCATAAGCGTAGACAGATTCTTGGCAATTCATTTCCATCTCAGATACCGTGAACTTGTAACTCACAAGCGCGTCGTTGCAGTGATAATCTTAGTATGGCTGCTTAGTGGATTTTTGTCTCTGGCAACGTTGTGGGTTTCGCCTGGTATTCGCTCCATAATTCTAACCACAAGTGTCGTGGTTGGTGTCCTTTTTGCAACGATGGTTTACATCAGGGCCTATTTAGCCGTACGACGTCACAAGAATCAGATTCAAGCTCTGCAAGTGCAAGAAGTAGCGAGAACTGCGGGAGAAATCACAAATTTTTCCAGCCTCATTAAATCTGTTGTCGGTGTATTCTATGTATATCTCGTGTTTGTAGCATGTTATTCGCCTTTCTTTATCTGTTTGGCCGCCATTAAGATTAACGGCCCAACTATCGCCCTGACGAGATTTTCTCTTTTCTCATGGACTCTAGTATTTCTTAATTCATCTTTGAACCCTGTAATCTACTGCTGGAAGATGAGACACATAAGACAATCTATCGTGGACATACTGCGGAACATGTCTTGGCACAGAAATCGCTCTTCACAATGACCGTAAGCTAACCGTACATTCGGTGTTGCCATTGTTGATAAACAGATTGTTTACAAAACAGCCACCGAGTGGCAGTCTGAGCACAGAACGAGACCAGTGCACGGGGGCCGTTTATTATTCCTGTTATTTCTGTCAAGCCCAAAATGTGAATCCTTTTGGTTTGATTATTGTGACACTCGAGTTACATATTGACTTTATACCTTTCAGAATTGGTCTTTTATGTACGTGACTGTTACGGACAACTGTCAACTCCAACTGTGTTTACTTCACGTTTGTGTTGCTGATAAAATTAAGATGAATATTCAGGCTTCTTTTAGTAGGAACAAACACTTCACGACGTAAAGAGACTACAGGACAAGATGTCAGTTCAGCTTTTAAAAAAGCAACAGGACATTACCGTGAAAATGAAACACGTATGACTGACCATGACAACGTTCAAAACACATGAGTTCGCTCTAACTCTGTATTTCTAAGAACCCTAATGATTCCGCTCTGATATACTCTGCATTTGTAATTATCCTAATGAAACGTGGATTCTAATAGAATTCTGTATTTCCCAAAAGATTTATAAGAAACGATTTGGAAATACATGAAACAAGAAATATAAGTGATAGAAACCGACGTTCCGGTGCATCTTGCGCCATTATCAAGGTTACATAATTAAAGATAAAAAGCGGTTTGTGATGAGGCTAAGTTGAAACGAATTTGCATAAGAGAGTGCCAAGCTAATTACATGAATACTTTAGCACGAAGA